GGGAAAGGGGAATGGGGAGGAAGTCTGAGTTCTCCCTTCCTAGTGGAAACCCATGGTGTGGTCATCTGCCAGGAGTAAGGGGGGACACATGGTGGCTCGGGTGTGTAGTCGGGCAGCCCACCCAGCTGGCCAGCTGGTGCTGAGGCAGTGCAGGGAGGAGGGTCTCTGCGCCAGCTGTGACCGGAGGTGAGGGCTGGGCCGGCGCGGGCCTCTGTGGTTTCACTGGGTAAGTCAGTGGGTTGGAGCCTCTGACCGCCAGGTTTCATCGTGATCTGGGTTTCATGGGGTCTGAGAGACACAAGCCCCTGGAGCCCTACAGAGTATATGCTTCCGCACGTCTGCTCCGCACGCACCAACGTCAGTGGGTGGTTTCCCTGTGGGGCTGTCCTTACAGGGAAGTCATGAACACAGGCAGGCACCTGTCCAGTGACCTATGGTGTGCTCAGACTGCGGCCTGAAAGGGAAACTCGCGGTAGCCAGCAGTGGCCAGCAGGACAGGGCAGGGGTAGGACATGGACATGCCTGTGTGTTAACATGTGATGTAATATTGGTGTGAGGAGGAGGAGGGAGGAAGAGTCATCTTAACAAGGAAGTTAGGACTGCATTAAGTAGCCTTAGAATTTACTCTGTTGGATTGAGGGATTGAGAGACCAAACAAGGAGGCCCGGTAACCATGTAAAATGCACTTCCCACCGGTACACCTGCTGGTCATCTGTGGACCTAACAGGATCATGGAGGACGGGCACGCAGAAAGTCCCCTTCTGTCTTTTCTCCCACATTTCGCTGTTGTGTGAGCACCTCCTTAGTGCAAGGTGCTCACCATAAAGACCTAGCCACGGTGCCTTTCTGCTGTGGTTTTTCAGGCTGCTCATCTCGGATGGAGGGTCTAGGAGAAGGAAGACAAGGTAAATAGTTTTGGGGCCACAGTCTGAGCTTATAAGAGCCCCTTTTAGGGGGTCAGTGAACCCACTGACCCGCAGTGGACCACGGCATCTGGTCTGGGAGGCTCTTGGCGAGGCCACAAGAGCTTCCTGTGTTAACAGAGGGATGTCTGGCAGGTGGCTGGGCCGCCCTCCTGTTCCTAAGAGGACATGTGTTGTCTGAGGGGGGAAATGAGTGTCTTCAGCTTATACAGGTGGCAGTGCATGGAGAAGAAAGCAGGCACTCCATCGGGACCTGGCCCACGCAGGCCAGGAAGGTACAGATTACAACATGGGCCAGGTTTGTCTGGTGTTAATTTGTCACTAGGCTGCCAGAGGTGTTTTGGTGATGACGGCCCTCAACATGTCTGTGTACTAGACAGTTGGATGTGTCACCACCCTGCTCTAATTGATGGCTTCCCCTACACGGTCTGCCTTCTCTCCTATCCTGTGGACTCCCCTCTTCTCCCTCCTCTTACTGGATGCACTATTTCATGCATCCCTTGTCATATGTTTTCACGATTTACTCCCTTGTTTTGTTGGAGCACATCCTCTAGTGGCTTCCTGAGAAGCGGTGCATAGGAAATGAAGGTTTTTGAAACCTTGCATATGGAAAGGTTTTTATTTTATTTTAGTTTTAATCTCACAGCTGATTGTTAATTTGGCTAAGTTAGGGATTCTAGGCCAGGAAAGATTTTCCTTTGGCACTTTAAAGGCACCACTTCCTTATCTCTTAGCTCTCATTGTTGCTCTAGAGATGGCTAATGCCCATTCTCATTTGGGCTCTTTTTTATGGGACCTGGAAACTTGTGGGAACTTTTTTTGGCCTCAGTGTTTGGTGTGACAGTATACTTTGATGTGGGTCAGTTTCCATCCATTGTGCTGAGAACCAGGAAACTCATTTCTAGGGCAATTTGCCTGTTTTGGTTCTCTCAGTGTCTTCTTTCAAAGAGCATCCTGTTCTTGATGCGTAGATGCAGTATCTTCTCTGCTGCCTTTTGAGACATTGAAAGGGGCTGTTGATGATACCCTCTCGTCTTCGTTTCCTCAAAGTTGTTCTCCCCCCCCCCCCCCAGCCACCACCGCCCTGGGTAGTTTGGTGGCTCTCCTCTGAAACGCTTTCCTCAGATGTCTGGAAATTTTGGGATGTCTACTCACATTTTGGGGAGTGGCCTGCAGAGCTGACTGGAGGCTCTGAGGACTGGGTGGGCTTGCCCACTGGGGCTTCCCTGGAGGGAGATTGGTCCACACTCTGCTGGGAAATAGCCAGGTTATGTCTTACGTGCAGGAGGAGAGAGGGACTCTCTTGGGCTTTGCCTGAAGGGCATGGTCCTCTGGGGGCTGATGGGGGCTCTCAGCCTTTGGGGGGGGCAACATACCTCTCTGCCACCCGTGCATGAAGTCCCTCCAGCCACAGAGCCCCTGCTTCATTCTCCCCAGGGAACACCCCCTCCAGGGTGGCTGGCCATCTAGGGGTCTGGAGCAGGTAGCCAGCAAGGGTCTGTGGGCTTCTCAAAAAGATCCTGCTGCTCTGAGCTGCCTTCCCTATCTCCACGGGTCCCTGGCCTCACTGGTCGGAGCCTTGGAGGTGGTTTCTCAGCTTCCCTCTGCTGTGGGGTTAGGAGTCAGCATGGCCAGGCCAGACACTGCTGCTCTATCATTTTTCTTGTCTTTCCTCCTGTTCTCCAGCTCTTTGGTGTTTATATCTTTATAAAATCTCTTTTGGTAGTTTTAGTGGGGTTTTAGAGGGAACAAAATTAGTTGTGTGCCCTTGACTAAAATGTCTCTGAGGTAAATCTCCTCTTGTTTTGTCCCTAATTATCAGTGCAAAGTACCATTCTCAGCTTCTCCTCCCTGTTCTCACTTAAACAAACAAGAAAACATGAAAACCAACAAAGTTTCCAAGTCAGAGGTTTATAAAATCTTCTTTTATGTTATCCCAAGATGGACAACCTTCTGGGTGTTCCTGGTATGAGGACGTACAGGTTGGTCCTGTGCCCTTTTCTGGCCAGATCCCTAGTGGACAGCAGCTGCAGCTGGAAGCGCACATTCCCTAGGGCTTGCCCTGAGGCCAGCCTTGCTGGGGCCTGTCTCCAAGGGGGGATCCCATTGTGCAGGTCCTGTGGCTCAAGCTGCCACAGCTGCCAACTTCAGCCCACCCACACAGGAGCACCATGGGTCTGTGGTGCTGAGTGCCAGCTGGGTCTGATGGAGCTTGGGAACGGGATTTGGTGCTGTCTTCAGAGAGCTTTTCTGGAATGGTCTAGAAGAGTGACCTATAAGGAGCTATTACTTGCCTGTGAAGGAAGAGGCCTGCCTGTAGGGAGACAGTTGGGTGATGGGTAGTGGGTGGGCCCACCGGTGGGCCCACCCGCGAGTTGGAGGCCACAGAAGCCTGGACCATCTGACAGCAGAGGACAGAGAAAGCCAATTAGGTCTTCTGAGCAGGGATGTGCCATTTTAAATATGGGGGCTGGGGAAAGTTCAATCATCCAAGCAGCTGCCTTGCTGGTAGACAAGGCATTTATCCGGTGTTTAGCTGTAGGCCGAGCAGCTTACTCGAAATTGTATAGCACGATTCCCCCTGGCCAAGACAGATCAATGATCCAGACAGGCTGGAGGGCCAGAAATTAAAAGCATTAAGCTCGTAAGTGGACAGTAGCCACTTGTCTTGGACACTGTCTATTCTCACCCTGCAGGGAAGGCAGCCGGCAGCACGGAGCCCCAGGCATGCAGGAACGCAGAGCCCGCATGCCTCCCTCCGCTGCCTCTGAGTCTTCTAGGCCCCTGACAAACCCCAGATTCCATGACATGCTTTTTGCCTCACGCAGAAAAGCAGGACAGTCAGGTACAGAGAGGAATCCTAGGGTTCCAGAAGCATCATCCAGAAGTAAAAAGCAACCTGGGATGGTTTTTCGTTTGTTTTTAGATTGAGAACGTCTTTGAGGTTACAGCTCACCCCTCCTCCCCTGTGGTGTTCTGGGCACAGCATCTGTGTTTTGCTTAGAAACAGAAGTAAGGTCTGCCTGATCCTGTGGTTCTGCTTGGGACAGTCCAGGTCCTCCTGCCTTTGGTGCTGACATTCCTGCCCTCTGTGGGTCTCATCACGCCAGCCCACAGGGTCCCCTCCACCCACCCTTACCTTTGGCTTTCCTTCTCTCCTCCCAGCCCCTAAACCAGGGCCTCTTCCCCCAGGTTGGGGGAGGATGGAGTAAGAACAGGGACAACCTGCTCTCCTGATTTGAGGCAAATCCTAGGCTACCTCCCACAGTGACAGCCCCATGTCTAGGCCAGGGCAGGGATGTTTACATAGGTTACCTTCGCCAATCTGGAGAACCGCCCCAGCAGTGACCCTGTGTGGCCCCTTCACTCTCCATCTGGAGGAAGGCAAGGCACTGAATTTCAGGCCTAGGTAAGGGAGTGGGGGGACTGTAGACCAAGTGGAAGAGGAGTGTAGGGGGGCATTCACTCCTGCTGTGCCTGAGGGCCAGAGCTGGGGAGGTGGGAGGGCAGGGGTCCTCCCAGGAGCTGCGGGCCCAAGATCGCCCCGCGGGCAGGCGGGAGGGAGGGAGGGAGGGAGGGAGGAGAGGCGGGGCCAGGGCTGGAGGGCGGCGCTCGCGGGGACCGGGCAGCTCCGGGCCCTGGGGACCCCTGCGCTTCGCCCACTCCTCCCCCGCCGGGGCTCCGCCAGCCGGCGCTGCAGCCGCCAGGGTGCGCCCCCCCCCCCCGCCCCGCCCGCCGCCGTCCCCGGCCCGCTCCGCCCGAGCCCCCCCTCGCCGCGCTGCGCGCTCCGCCCGAGCCGCCGCCGCCGCCGCCGCCGCCGCCGCCGCGTGCTCCCGCTGTCTCCTCGCTCCAGCCGAGCGAGCCGGAGGAACCGGGAGAGGGAGAGAGCGAAAGGGGGAGGAGAGAGGGAGAAGGAGGGCGGGAGGGAGGGGAGCAGACGGAGAGGAGGCGGCGGCGAGCAGGAGCGAGCGCGGAGCGCCGAGCCGCGGGGCAGCTCCGGAGCCGGGAGCCTCCTCGGACAGCCGCCCGCCCCGGCCCGGCCCGGCCCGCTCCAGCGCCCGCCCGCTCGGAGGACACGCGGCCGCCGCCGCCGAGCCCGGCCCCGCGCCCCTCGCCGCCCGCTCCGCTGCCCGCTCGGGGCCGGGATGCAGCCGGGGCATGGCCGCCGGGCCCCCGTCACCTGCCGCGGGGAGCGCTGAGCCCGTGAGTAGCCCGACCTCGCCGCCGCGCGCCCTGCGGGTCATCACCTCCGCGTTCCCCGGGCTGGGGGGGGCGCGGCCGGGGAGGGGCGCACGAGACCATCCCGGGCGCGCGGGGAGGGGGGCGCCCTCGGGGTCAGGGGGTGTCCGCATGCACCGGGTCTGGGTTCCCGGGTCCCTCCCAGGTCCCTCCCGGGCTGGGGTCGGGGCACGTGGCCCAGCCGGAGGCCGGAGGGACGGTTTTGTGAATGGGAAGGCCCCGGGGTCGGGCTCCATGGAGACGCAGGGGAGTCCCGCGCGCCGTGCGGCGGTGGCGGTGGCGGTGGCGGCCGTGGCGGCGGCGGCGGCGGCACAATGCCCGGCGCGGGGAACTCCCCAGCGGGGGGAGGCCGAGGCGCACGGAGATCCCGGCCCGGCGGGGCGCATCCGGGGAGGCGGCCGGAGCCCGCGAGTGGGAGCGGGGCTGGGACCCCGCGGGGTGCGCTACCTTCTGTCCCCGCACCCAGGCCCGGGGAGCCCTGCCCGAGGCCCCGGGGAGGCTCCCGCGAGGAGTGGAGGACGCAGAGGAGTTGTGGGCGGAAGGGAGGAAGGGGCTCCCACGGCTCCCCGAAGAGCCCCGGGCCGCGCGCTGCGCCGCCGTGCGCGAGGGTAGGCGCCGGCGGTGGGGGTGGCTAGCGGCGCGGGGCCCTCCGGGGGGCGGCTGGGGGCGCTCCCAGCGGAGTCTCCAGCCTGAGCCGGGTCTGCTGCTCCCCGCTGTGGCCGCCCCAGGGGCCAGCACGGCCCGCTGGGGAAGCTGGAGCCGCGCGGCGGGCGCAACCCTGGCCCAAACTTTCTGCCCCAGCGGCCCCGGGAGGCGGTGGCGCTCGTCCCTTCGGGCGGCTGCCTCCGCGGTGCCCCGGCAGGCACAGGGCCTGAGGTCCCCTCCTCCTCCGGGCGCCGAGCCTCCCCGCGGGACCCTCATCCTGTCCGCGTGAGATCGAGGGAGCGGCGCCTGCTGAGGACCGACCCTGTGCGCCCCAGCGCAGCCCCCGGATCCACAGTCTCCTGGGGGTGGGGGTGGGGGTGGCGGTGTTCCTGGGAGTCTGGAGCTCCCTCCCGCCAGAGGGCACGGGGTCCTGCTGGGTGAGGGAAACTCCTCCGTGAGAGCTTTCCAGCTTTTCCAAGGGACTGGGTTTATTTTTTAGTGGTCACTTTAAAAAAGGACTCCTGGGGCGCCGCTCTTCCTGCCTGCGAACACCCGGTGGTGGAGGTGAAGGACAGGGACGGAGGATCCATCTCCCAGGCGAACCCCTACCCCGAGCTAGAGGTGAAGTGAAGTCAGGGTTCTGCACACGCAGGGTCACTAAGTTCCTTCTGAAATACCCTCTCTGCTCAGGAACGCCCTGGGTGCATCCCCAGGTGCCCCGGGCACTTAGCACCTAGCAGGTTCCAGGCTAATGGAGTCAGGTCGCCCATCATGAGGTCTTTCAGTCAGAAGACAGCTTTGGTTTTACGGGTCTGAAAAAGATAAATACATACATAAATAAATAAAAAATAAGGAAAAGTATAAACATCGCCACAGAACCTGCTTGTTAATTGTGCATAGTGGATTTGGGCGGATGTCTTAATTAGGCTGCGTTGTTAATGGGGATATTACACTAATTAAAACCAGACCCTCCAGGTGAGCAAAAATTGTGAAGGGAGAGAGAAAAGTTGCAGCAAAAGCACCCCCTGATGAAAGTGGGGTGCATGTAATGTAGGGGGGCCACTCCTCCAGTGGGGGCCTGGGGCAGGGTCAGGGGAGGGCGCCTTCTAAGCACCAGCCATGCACACCCACCCCCTCCCTTCCCGCCTCCACTGGTGAACGAGGAGGACCTCGAGGCTGCCACCCTCATCCCTCCCTGGGGACTGGAGGCCTCTCTGCGTGGGCACAGGCTCACCACCGCACACTCCTGGAAGCGACACTTAACCCCTCATTCCCCTGCCAGGAGTTTCAGGGAGGGTAGTAACAATGTGGGTGAGGTGGGAAACCCTGGGGATTTTGGGAGCAGAGGCAGAGTGACAGGGGCACACTCAGGCCAGCCAGTCTGGGCCTGGTGAAGCAGCGGTGTGTAAGGGGGACGGCTGGCCAGTGGCCTATAGGCTGTTTGCGTTGGAGCCGCTGGGGTTTGCTGACATGAGTTGCCCATTTCCAACAGCGATTTCTTCCCCCTTGAAAAGAGGACTTGAACGATTTATCTGACCCACCCTCCAGGGATCTGGGGCCTAGAGAGACCTCTGTCCACCTCCCTGGGCCTTATGTTGTCTTAGGATGCTGGGAGAAGCTGGGAATCTCGGAAGCCCCCTCCCCTTCCCCCCCCCAGCCTGGCCTCTGGCTCATTCTGAATGCCCCTTGCCCAGTGCCCTCAAACAGGAGCAGCAGCAGAGCTGGGTGTGCTCACTGCCCTTTGGCAAGGCCAGAGGCCAGGCTGGAGGGAAGGTGGCGGCCTGGGCGGCCCCCTGCCACCTAGGGCTCCTTGGGCGGGCAGCCCGGAGCAGCACCAAGGACAGGGCCAGGGGCCCGCTGCCCGCGCTCCGCCCTCCCGCCTCCGACATTGTACTGGGGCCGCTGGGGGCGCTGCAGGCGCTCGCCCTCACCCTGCTAGGGGAAGGGGAGGGCTGCTGAGGTGCATGCAGAGCAAGGGGAGCCCAGGGCCAGTGAAGAGGCAGATTTAGGAAGGAAGCAGGTAGGAGGACTCCTGGGTGCCATTCCAGAGTGGGCCTTCTGTGGTGTTCCTGCCACTTATTTAACTTTGAGCCTTGCCAACGGCTTGTGGGAGAAATGGAGAGAAATTATGGAGCTCTTTGATATCTGGGGATACGTGAGACGTGGCAGCGGCCAGAATATGTGCTAGCCCTAGTTGTGGATCCTGCCAGCCTGGTACATAGCTCAGGCCTGTTCCACTCAGCAGACTTCTTCCCAGAGCCCCCTTCAACCATGACCTGAGGCTCCTTCATTCTTTGACGTGTACAGGTTGGAGGCACCTTGCTCTTATGGGCAAGGATCCTGGCTGATTTATGCCCACCTCCTCCTGCACATGCATGCTATTCAGTGTATGCTTGTGGAATCAGCAGTGAAGGGAGCTCCTCCTATCCCACCCAGATGCGTCAGGGTGGTGGGGTGAGGGGGGCTGTATATGGGGCCTAGAGGAACCACGCAGGAGGGAGACGTGGGAGCCAAACTCCACCCTGGAATGTTATTTCCCAGGGATTACAGCCCTTCCTCCAGCCCGGCTGTTCATGCACCTGCAGTCTGTGGTCAGTTGTCTCTCTGTGCTTATTTCCACACTCCTTCTTGATACTCTGTTATAAAGACAAATGGAACCTGACACACAGCTGACATTTGGTGAGAAATTTTTTATTTTTAAACAAGTGAAGGGGAAAAAAAACCATCTTGAAACTTTCCCCCCTTGAACAGAGATGCTCCTCATCGGGCACCTGCCTTTCCCCAAATCCCCACCTGCCACAGGCCTTTCCTGCCGCAGAACAGACCAGCTTGATGAACACATCCCATTTGCACCTACATCTTTTCGATGAGCTGCAATGTCTCCCCAATTTCTTTTATAAAGCAGCACGTTATTTTCACAGGTTCATGAAACATTCAGGCAACCGAAACATCTTATTTTCTGCAGCCTCTCTGAAGTAGGTTTCTCTCTGAACCATTGCGACTTCTTTTATTTATAATGTTATGGTTGCATCTCCCCCACGGCTGTGTCTGTCTGTCTGCCTCCCTTCACGTCTGTTTTTCCTCTTGTACCTTCTGAGGGATGCGGGCACTTCATATGTGACTTTCTGCTTGCATTAGCTAGGAGAGTTGAGGACAGCTTTCAATGAACAGTTGGATAGTGGTAATAATTGAGTACACAGTAGGTAGGGTCTGTTCTTTGTGGGGGATCTGCAGACAGAGGATGAGTGTCCTTGCTTAAATACCTCACAACAAGAACTGATTTAGTTTATAAAATATACATTTTAAAGTGCAGTGCACTAAGTAGATTAATTTGCTATGGCAGTTTCTCCAACACTTGAGCTGCCACCAAATCATGCCTTAGAAGGTGAGTTGAGATAATAAAGAGCATACAATCTGTTACTTTATTTGAAAGTGTTTCCTTTAATAAGGGGGGGGAGGAGGGAAGCTCACAGTACACAGTATACAAATGGCCTTTTGGAAAGTGTTGCCAGTTTAGGTGGAGCAGATCCCAATGCTCCTCTTCAGGAGCAAGACAGGCCACCACGAGGGATGGCCAGCCAGGCCTAGGAAAGACTCAATTTTATTTTAAATTAGAGGCTTAAAGATGTGCTCGACTGTGCGATAGGGACACCTTCCTCTGGATCTAGTATCCACTCTTCCTGTGTAGCTCAGGGCTGGTTCCTGCTGATTTCACCTGGGAGGTGGGTTGTAACTTGTTAGCATCAATTTCATGTTGGGGAGGTGGGGTCTTTAGAGTCTGTGGTGTTCTCTGAGGATCAAGAGCAAAGCAGTTCTTGTTGAAAAAGAAAATGTAGGGGACCCCTTGGTGGCTTAGCGGTCTAGCGCCTGCCTTTGGCCCAGAGCATGATCCTGGAGTTCCGAGTCCCGTGTCGGGCTCCCGGCATGAAGCCTGCTTCTCCCTCTGCCTGTGTCTCTGCCTCTCTCTCTCTCTCTCTCTCTCTGTCTCTCTCTATGTCTATCATGAATAAATAAATAAAATCTTTAAAAATATATATATATTTTAAGGTTTAGTGTCTAAAGCCAGAGCATAGTCTCAGCAGGAAAAAAAGGGAGGGGGAGGATATATGTGTTTTTAGCAGAACATCATCCACTTACTGTGTTGGTTAGTGGCTCTACTGAGATCTTCCTCCCAAGGTTCTACAAAAACAGGGGGCATGGGTGAAGCCACTGCTGTACCTGGCCATGCCAGGCTCCTTCTGAGATCCTGTCGCGGTCATCAGTGCTTGTGTGTGCAGGTGTCCGCCAGGTGTCTGCTGAGCGCTGCAGGGAGTGGCTAG